TGATCGTCGACGTATATGTTACGTCGCGGTATTTTCCTTCACCATTAAAGCATGTGATAATTTAGTGAACTAAATGATTATCATATTATTAAACTGCCTCCGTAGCCGAACGGTTACCATGCCGGACTGCCACGCAGAGGCCCCAGGTTCGATTCCCGGGCCGGGAGAAATATTTGTATGGCCTACATTTATTTCTGTCGTGAGTTTGGGTGTAATTTGTGGTTGTCTATGTGTGTGTCCATGGCACCCGCGACACAGGGTTTTCCTAGTACGGGGCTATGTTGAGTGTGTGCGTTATTATTATATTATTATTATTATTATTATCTAGAATTACTGACAAATCTTGAATAGATTCCGAAATTCATTTCATTTCATTTTTTTGTAATACCAAGTTGTAGGACGTACAAGTTGTGCGCCTGGCGGTAAACGACACGCCTGTCCATAGCAGTTGCGGTGCTATTTAGAGTTTTAAAATCGAAAAGATCTGAGGGGCACTGCCACTGCGCTCATCACCTTGAGACATAATTGACAAGTCCCATGTGCCTTCACCCTTCAAAACCGGAACGCAAAAATGCTCACATTTCTGCTTGATAGCAAAAATAAACGAATTCTTTTACAGGCAGCTGTACTGCTACTAAATATAAAAATATTATTGTTAGTAGTAGCACTGTGTGAATTATGTTGAAAACCATATTCCCTCATACACCGTTCAAATCGAAATATATTATATCGTATTTTATCAGAGCGTGTGGTCAACCATATTTACTAATTAGTTAGTTCATTCAATTAACCTCATAGAGCTTTGAATCGTAAATAACTCGTTACGAATACTTTATATATCGTCGTCTAATCAAGTCAAGCCTACTTTAATGCAAAAATTTATGCCTAGCTGTTGCTTAACAACCACTATAACTTCTTCTCTAGACTTAAACATGGTGTGTAGTAAAATTTGATCGATTTAATTGTGTATATAGCTCTTTTGCTGAAGTAGACTTGTCCTAGAATTACAAAAATTTGTCTAAATATAAGACAAATTTTTGAGCATTTAACTCTTAAAATCACTCATTTATGGCTATTAACAAATTTCACAAACATTCGCATTAACAAGAATAAACGAAAATGTCTAAAAAGATGCAGCAATCTTGACGAACGGATAAAGATATGTCAGGAACGTAGCAAGTGGAAGCCTATGATACCGCTGTAGGCCACACGTTAATGAAGAAGCAATGGATAACGATCATTCCTTGATTACAAGTATAAGATGAAATAGAATTGGAATCTTGAAAGTAATTTGTGCTAACATTCTCATACTGCTTGCTATACACCTGATCATTAAACTATTTTGTTACACATAAATAAATAATAAAGGTAATTTTGTAATTTTAAAATTGTCTCTTGGGCCATTTTAATGTGAATAGTCATTCACTACGCTACGCAAGTATACGCCATCTGCAACCACATCGTCACGTCAGGAGTGATTGTGGTTTAATGCTTGCCTATTACTTTTAAAAACAAAAAATGTACAACCAACGTAACTGTAACACTCGCCTCACAATATTCACTCGTAATTGATGAAACATTTCCTTAGAGACGCTGCTGTTCCTCACCGAGACGCAGATCAGGTCCAGTCCTGACGCAGCGTACTCAGCTACTGGAGCACAGGTTCATACCTCGTGCCGGAGTATATGTGTACGTTCGCGATGACATCTGTGTCAAGCGTCTCAAGAACCTTGAGGCACCGAGTTTTTCTGTTTTGTGGCTTTTGGTTGACACAGGAGTTACACAAATAGTGTACAGCTGTGTCTACCGCTCGCACAGTGGAGATCAAGAGACGACCAAGTTGTTGACCAAGGACCAAAAGGTGGTCCCTGGCCAAAGCGGTCGAATCTAACTCTTGTCGCTCATCTTTGCCACCTCTGCTGAGGCCAGATAGCTTGCTGGCTCAAGCTGCAGAAGAGAAGACGAATGCCGGGAAGTGCGGGATGTACCAAGCACAAGTCCGGTCGTGCATGGAGTACTCAGCACTCCATGCACGACCAAGCAGGTGGCAGCCCACCTTTGGGATGGCTCTGCTACATACCAACTGGCCACTTTGGATTCAATTGACAACCGTGTCAAGAGGCATATAGGTGACTCGGAATTAGTGGAGGCGAAGCTGCAGAGCCTTGAACACCACCGTAAAGTTGCCTGCTCATCGGTATTTTATAGGATATATCACGGAGAGTATGCGATTGAATTACACGATTTAATTGCGCCTTCCCCTTTCCATCACCGGGGGACTAGGCGTAGGCTTGGGTTCTACCCCTATGTTGTGGATATTCCAAAGATTCGCACGAAGCGTTACACTTCCACATTTATATGGCGAACGGCTATGGAGTGGAATTCCCTGCCTGCAGACTTGTTCCCTGAACGTTATAACTTGGACCTTTTCAAGGCGAGAGTGAATAAGCATAATTTAGGTGTGTATGCTCCATTGTCGACCTCATCGTCACTTTCCATCAGGTGAGATGGAGGTCAAATGTGCACTTATAATCTATAAAAAAAAGAGTAATTTGTAATTATTCATTAATAAGCTGTAGACTCTAGACGATATCCCCTATCGTGTAAGTAGATCGGTCAGGATTGGGACCCCTCAATTGTCGAACGCTTAAAGCGCATCCATACTAAACTTGTATGCGTGCGACAATTGTATAAAATGATTTTATATTAAATCAACCTTAAAATGTCGACTCAGAATTGTTATCACGGTACATTTTTGGAATTCCTAACTTTGTCTTTTGTACCCTATTCTTCAATTTATTCCCTTCTAACATTATTATAACAGCTCGTATTTTCGGACAGAAATAAATATTATTATTATGTATTATAATTTTAATAGCAGTAGATTTCCTTGTGAAAGAGTACGTCCAGGGAAGTACTGCTACCTTATTTATTTCTGCCACCAAGCAGTAAAGTGAGCATTACTGCGTTCCGTTTTAGAAGGGTAAGGGTGCTGGTGAAATTACAGGCACATGAAACTTGTCACCTCTGTCTCAGGGTGATGAGTGCAGTGGCAGTATCCCTCAGATCGAATCCCTACGAGCGTTATAATATAGATCTTTGCGATTTAACGCTCTTGAGTAGCACTGTAACTAATTGTGGACAGGTAAGAAAACTTACACTTTTTGTAGTACAGAAATAAATGTTAGTGTTGTGTGGAATAATTTCAGTATGTATTATTAGTATTCGATAGATTGACTGCCTCCGTGGCCGAACGGTTATCATACTAGACTGCCACGTAGAGGTCCCGGGATTGATTCCCGGACCGAGAGAAATATTTGTAAGGCCTATATTTATTTCTCTCCTAAGTTTGGGTGTAATTTGTGGTTGTCCATGTGTGTGTCGATGGCACCCGCGATACAAGGTTTCCCTAGTGCGGGGCTATGAGTGTGCGTGTTCTTAGTTTAATGTATTTATTCAAAGCCAAATATATCTTTGTTTCACTGACACGAAAATTAGACTTGAAATCGTCATTTTAATAAAACTCTACTACTCATTCGTGTGGCAGATTCCCCTGAAAAGAATGACTAATAATTGCTCGCTCTAGAATGAGAGATTGCTCTTTGTAAATGAACACATTTATCATTTACAATGTTTATTTCAAACCTGAACTAAACTGCACCTGGAGCTAAACGGGTCCACTACCATTGATTTTTGTCATCCAATTACGCAGATGATGTATTGGTATAAAGTTTTTGTTTCACTGTAATTTTAAACCTCGTAAATGGCAAATTTTGAAAATGAACCGGAATGTTATTGTAGTAGCGTATACATAATTCCTTAAATGAATTTGTGACTTGTGAAGACAACTGTCAGGAATAGCCAATTATTTTTATTCTTCCTGTTAAGATTAAGTACATCATTCATAATTAGTATTCTTCTTTTTTAAGATACCCGGTGGTAAGCGACACGCCTGTCTATAGCAATTCCAGTGCCACTCAGAACTTTAAATCGCAAAGATCTTAGAGGTGCTGCCACTGCGTATGTCACTCTGAGACATAACTTGACAAGTCCCATGTGCCTGTATTTCACCCACACCCTTACCCTTGAAAACCGGGACGCAGTAATGCTCACGTTACTGCTTTGCGGCAGAATCAGGGTAGGTGGCAGTAGTTCCCTAGAGGAATTCTTTGACAAGAAGCCTACTGCTACTACGAAACATAAAAGCGCAATAACGTTAATGTCTTAACTTCTCTCTCAATACTTAGTAAGTAAGAATACTTAGTAAGTAAGCTATGTAATCAGAGATGGGCAAGCGCCTGGGTTTTACCCGGAACTTTGTTAACGCCGGATTTAAATCAGGTTAAAACCCATTAACGCCTGAAATCGAGGGTAAAAAAACTGTTTACAACTAATATTTGTTGTAAATCAGTTTTATTCATATGTAAATATCATATGGAATTTTACAAAATGTTTACTGGTTTTTGATCCAGGCGATTCTATTTGCCTTTATATTGAATCGATTCGCTTGAAAATCACATAAAAATGGATCGGAACAAAAAATCGTTAGTTTGTATGCCTTCAATCGATCTTCATAAAAATGGAAACGTAACGTTTACGAACATTATGGAAAATGAACAGGATTGAAAGGTGGGTGTCGTGTGGAGCTGCCTCGTTTTCATCTAAAAGAAGTTTTTACATAGAAATTTGTAATAAGTATACCAAATTCCGTATTCTCCGTTTCTGCCCACGATTTTGGGCAGAAATGGGTAAAAAACTGTGTAAAGCCCGGACTGGTTGATTGAGTTTTAACCCATCTCTGTACATAATGGATACGTCGTAGTTTTTTTGGGTTGCACCCTGTTTGCGTCACTTATTTTTTGTATCATATGGTTGCCTGGAAGAAAATGCTACTAAATAATGGGCCTCCCATTGTCCAATTCTTATTTACTATGTCTTATTCTGCGTTGTCAATGTAATTTTTAAAATGCTATAAAAATGGTTCATTACGCCTTTTTCAGGGTAGTAAAGAAGACAACCCGGAAAGTGAGAACGATAATGGAGAGGTGTTGGAGTTCCTTCGAGGCATCACCACAGACATATTTCAACGTTTCGCCTAGAACACCAACATTGTTCTTGTGCAAGGTGAACAGTAGACAATGGACTTATCTTCACGTGCTCTAGTTGTACATACTTTTCAAGTTGTGCTGGAGTCTCTTACAGGTTACATTGTTATCTGTTCACAAAGACTAAGTCATAGGCTAGTTCATAAACTAAGAACATTTTCGTATGAATTATGTTATTTAAAATAATATTAACAACAATTCGTGTAATGTCAACTAGCTTATTGATTAATTATATACGTCACCCTATTCCATATGTCCTAAAGGTGGTGATTGATATTTAAGCTATACTAATACATTTTATAACATTAACCAATGTAGCGTGTTGTAAACACAACAAAAAATGTAAATTTTAGAAATTATAAGAGGTGCTACCGGTCACAATTTTATCACATCCACCCGCTATTTTGAGATGCGTCAGATATAAGGACGTAGAATTGTTAAAAATATGTAGTCGCATAATACCTTATTGTAACCACATCAGCTATCCCTCCTATTGCCTCGAATTATGGTGTAATTTAGAAGTTAAGGATGTCTTCCAATGGTTTTTATTCTTTTCATTCCTATAGATCAAATATTTATTTAGTTTTTCTTTTAATTAATAGGCTGAAATATGAAAATAGTTAATTAATTTACATTACAGATACAGATATATTATACAAAATTATTTTAAAATAACCCAAATAATTGTTTTTTTTTTTTGCGGAAAAGTTGGTATTTCGTCTCTTAGTACTGTGAATCAAAACAATCTTCTGTAATTTTCCAAAAGTGCCAGGCAAAATTTTTGTTTATTTTAATGGCAAAAATGTCGAATTAAGTACTTTTATGTCGACAAAATAATTCTGTATAATACAATAAAACATTTTAGAATAGTTTCCTCGGTGACTGACATTAAGTACCCATGTACAATGTAATAATTCCTCACACAACACATAACGCAATTATGCGTAATGTGCGTAAGATTACGTGATTAGAATGATACAATTTTATTACCAGTGCATAGTGTAATCATTGTGTGAAGACAATTATGTGAGCTTTAGTTTACACTAATTAACGAAAGCCAGTAGCAGACTCGCGTATACTCACGCAACAAAAACAATGAGAAATTTAAACCACAACAATAAAGTAAATGTTATTTCTCTCAATGATCAACGCTTGTATGTGCACTAGACTCTTTAATTATACAAGACGCGGTTACACTCATCAGGCATTGTCACAAGTTATTTAGATATCCTCAGTGTGTCGATGATAGGTGTGAAATAGATTTTTTGTTTTTTTTAAAACATCAACGTGTCAGATGTGTAGTGTAATAAATTCATCGCTTATTATCATCATTGTGACATCATATTTGTATGAAGCGGTTAAAAGGCCCACCTGCGCTTCCCGAAGCGGCTCATTAGCAAACAATGATCGGGCGTTGGCGGCTACCGCAGCCCTCGCGAGGCGCGATCAATAAACCGGCGCAGCCGCAGATAAGCCGGGTACGCGGTCGCGCGCGCGCACCGTACATATGCCGCGGGCGACACATCCATAATCCCGTGACGTGTTGTGACAGCCAAGCTCGACCGCTTTTTATACCGTTTCATACTACATTTTTTAAGACAGTGCAACGACCTCGAACCGTTTTTTACGTATTATTTTCACATATAATTACATGTATAACCGAGCAACCGCTTAATTATCCGAAACCGCTGGCGAAGCATAAACCCGGAATCCCGATCAAAAACCTCCGGCGCCGCTTTTAAATTACGCTTCGTTAACCTTCTCCTAGGTTAATTACTGCTAACGCACACAAACATGCTTTGCATAGAATACAAGTAAGAGACTCCGTCTCTCTAAACGTTGATATTTTATCTTGCCTGAATAAACGTGTCATACTCTATAAAGATATTGAATTAAATCGCCAATTTATTATGTCAACTACAATACATACAATCTTTTTCACATTTAAACTAGTCAGTTTCCTTCAACTTTTAGGATTGACTTACGAGTATGTTCGTGATTCTGAGTCGATAAAGATGGTCTGCATTTACGTTTTGTGAATAAATAAATGGCAATGGAGTCTTCGATGGTATTTGTCTAAACGTATGTAATAGGCAGCTTGAAATGTATAAGAATTAGAGTCGTATGTATCCAAAAATTCGGATAAGTTTTCGAATTAATATAATATGTATAGGTTCGACTTAGTTTCTAGTTGAAATACAGTTAAATTTTATTTATCATAACAGGTGATGAGTGTTATACTCTACCCACAGGTAATCGACCGGCATTTTATAGCATATTAATTAAACATGACCTGATTTAAGATGTTCTGTAAGTTTTGTAGCCAATGTTTCTTTTAAGGTTGTGCTTTATAAAAGTAATAATAATACATATTATAACAGACGTTTGAAACTTATGAAACTTTTTTACTCATATAACACTACCAATTAACAAAAAAACAATGTTTCATGTATGTTCTTATTCCTGTGTTTCAACAAAAAGTGTGCCTTTTATTGTTATTAGTCACTGTAAGTACTTAGGGACAAGATTTCTTTGCCGACAGAGAAATATACACAAAGTTTGTACCTACTTTTACTCCTCAACCTGTCGTGTTTTGTACTCAATGTATATTAAAAAATAGCCTTTGATAGTCGTTTTTGCTAGAGTTAAACTTAGAATAGATTAATATTATGTAGCTTTACAAAGACTGTTGTCATTAATTTTAAATAATGTTTACATCACAGATACGGTCAAGTTTAGTATAACATCTGATGTTTTCATGGAACGTTCTATGACCTCCGCATGTGAAATTCTTGTGTGTTTTTAAATTTTAAATCTCCGATCAGTTGCTCTAAGTGTTACATACACGATAATGAAGCATAATGTAATATAACATTTCGTCACTTCACGTCGTTAAGTACAGTTAGGGCGTTTTCACACAAGTATGACAAAATTCCGCACATGTATTTAAGTTTAGACACGTGCGAAAATGCCCTTAGTCAGGCTGTATTAAAGTGGCTTTGAAGTAAAATTGTATACTCTATAATACTTGAATATTTTTGTATGAATTGTATTATAAATTGTATAGTACAAGTTTATAATTGTTTGTAAATGTTACGCCAATTCTTCGGCCACATTGTGTAGTTTAAGATATACCTACTTTCGCCACTTTTATTCTGCGACTTGTATATTCAATGGAAATAAATAAGTATTATTATGTGCTAGTTTCATTTTTTCCTCGTGTTTTTTGCGCGTGAGTAGTTGATTGTTCAGTTCTAGTATATGATTAAGTTCGCGCACTCATTGAGATGTTGTCAAATTAAGATTCATTTGGCGAGAGTCCCGTTAGGTGTGATTTATTCAGGTGAAGCTATTAACGCGGGTTATTGCGAGAATTGCTGGTCATCACCCATTGACCCAGTGTTTGTCCAATTACACGACCACCCGAGGGTAAGCGTTAGCTAATGTGCTCAATGTAGGTGCTGCAATATTATTTACCTGTCTATTTGTTAAATGTCATAAAAAATGTGTCTGTTATATATATATATATATATATATATATATATATATATATATATATATAATTGACCATATGTATATATATATAATATATATATATATATACATATGGTCAAGTTAAGAATAATTTGAGTCGCAACTTGGGCATACCTATCTAGCACATATAGAGCTGCGAAGTAATCCAACGGCAGTAGAGGGTGTTCACTTGATATTAAAGGCAACGGGTGATCACCATCGATGAACACTACGCCACCTTAATTTCGGACCTGTTCTGTTCATTTCATTTCATTCATTTTGTTTTTTGTTTCTATTTTTTCACAAAATCTTTTGGATTTTTTTTCGAATCTTGTTTTTTGTTTCTTTATTTTTGTTTACAAAATTTGGGGAGCATAATTATAGTAAGTAAGTATGGTTGCTTACAAAAATAACAGGAAATGATAAAAAAATAAAGTCTGTGAAGTGTTCATTGGAGGGCTAGCTACGTATTTTCTAGTGACATTTAGTAAAGTTAAAGAGAGAAGAACGCAAGTTTCACATTTCTCCTATGAAACGAAGCTGAGTGTTGCCAAGGTCAGGAGACAGAGGTGGAACGCCAGGGTCGACGGTCGGATTGCCTCGGTGTCATGGCGTCCGCGCGTGCCGGCCTAATAGGCGCCTTCTTATTACGCGTAATGCCACAATACAGCCAATTAGTCCAACCAGCTGAGATTTACCGCGGCTCTTACTCGACCACATTGCTCGCTCTAACTGCCTTGCACAATTACCCTGCTGTCTCTCCAACTTCATTTTACTCAAAGACACCTTTAATCGACACAGACCCCACGTAGTCTCGTTTGCAAATTAGTTTTAGATTTATATATAATTTAGTAGCAGTAGACCTCCTTGTGAAAGAGTTCGTCCAAGGAAACACTGCTACCTACCTATTCGACCGCCCAGCTCTAATGTGGGCATTACGTGTTCTGGTTTTGAAGGGTAAGAGTGCTGGTGAAATTACAGGCACACACATCTTGTCAACTTATTCTTAGTATGATGAAGAAGTGGCAGTGCTCCTCAAATCTTTGTAATTTAAAGTTCTGCATCTATTATGGACAGGCGTCAGTCTTACTACCATGCGCATATACCATAAAAAATACTATTTTGTCATCCCGTGTTTTGGCAATTTACATGTGTTATACTTATATAAGTAAATATACACTACATGTATATTTACCTTTAGTAAATTCATTTGTGCAAATGTTACGACTCCTCAATGCTGTATCTAATTCTTCAAACTGTCTAAACATGTTTTTCTCATTATTTTATTTCTTCGAGATAGCATCTTGACAGACGCAAATACCGATCGTCCAATGGGATGTTTTCCTCTAATGGACGGGCCAATATCAGATTTCTCCACCGTACAAAGTACACATACGAGCCGACACCTATTGATGGACTAACGAAACTGATATGCAAAACAAAATAACAGTATTCGCATTACGCGTGTACATTTTTTGTTGGTGGCAAAAACGCTCGCAAACTTATTGCGGCACGCAAATTGGACATGGCTTTGTAATTGCAGCGTGCAGTATTTAGGTAGTAATTATAGAGGTCGATGAAGATAATTGACAGGTGTGTTAAATGTTTGGAGTGACCCAGAGAAAGGCACTGTGTGACGGGCGGCATTGTAACTAGGGACGTGCAGGCTATCTTTGCGAGATACGGTAAAATTTATACCAGACAATCACAACAATTTCCTGGGCCCCGTAGGTACCATAGGTAAATATTTGTCACAACGCATTGATGCAAACGCAGTCAATGTCAAAATGTAACATATCAGACTCTTGATGTTATAAACCTCAATTTATATTGCGGCGCAACGGAATGGAAGCGAATTTTTTTATTATTTTCTAATTAACGATATTGTACATAGCATAGTGAACTTTATGAAGGTACAAATTATATACGAGTCAAAATAATCCGCGGAATGCGAGCATTCTCGAGCATGCGCGAGAATTCCGCGGAAGATTTTGGCTCTTATCTAGTTTGTACTTTACACAATTGACCATGAAGTTCATTATTCTATGTACAATATCGTTACAAAAATTCGATTCCATTCCGTTCCGCAGCAAATTAAATTGGGCCTTAGTCTACATCTGCGAAATGGCAACATTTCAAGACAAAGATTTATAGATGCTACTAACAAAATTAGTCAATAACTTTTGCATGAGTTATAAAATTTCACTCATACGTAAATTTTGTTTCATGTAGTTCATAGTGTAGTGTTGTAAAAAACTCGAGTCCGGGAGTCTACATGTTAGAACTCGACTCCAATTCACAAAATTCTAGTTGTAAAGACAGAAACTCCACTGCTAGATGTATGACGAGCCTATCGAGTTTCCGAATAGACTCGAAATCGACATTAATGCTCGAGTCTGTATGTAACGAGTCACGCTCGAGTTCAAGTGTCTATGTAACTAGACAAGCTCGAGTCTGGTAAGTGCCTACTAACCGGTGTAGTGTTGTCATCTTCTTTTTTGTAATCACCATATTGAGTTTTAGTTTAATTATTTAATTCGTTGGCAATAGTAGCTGTTCATTAATACTGAACCCTGCTTGTCGAACTCAAGACTTTGTAGAGTCACGAAGAGTGCGATGGAATTGCATAATTTGATTCCGCTTTCCCCTTTCCGTTATCAGGGGACTAGACGTGGGCTGGGATTCCACCCCTATATTGTGGATATTCCCAGAATTCGCACAAAGCGCAAAACGCTTCCACATTTATATGGCGAGCGGCTAGAACACAGATGTCTGTGGGCTAGAGAATGGAATTCCCTACCTGCGGACTTATTCACCGAACGCTATAACTTGGACCTTTTCAAGGCGAGAGTGAATAGGCATTATTTAGGTGTGCATTCTACATCGTCGACTTCATCATCACTTTTCATCAAGTGAGATTAAGGTCAAATGCGCACTTATGTTTTATAAAAAAAAAAAATTGCAGTCACTTCGAGTCGAGTTTTCGAACTCGAGTCTTGTTCAAAACTCCAGTTAGGTTTACGAGTCGAGTTCTTTTTAAACTTGAGTCTGAGCTCCGATCAGTTGCGCTCGACTTGACTCGGACTCGTGAGTGTTTAAGTCACCAAGTTTATAAAAGTAGATGGAATTGAGATTTTTACATGTGATGAAAGCACTTTTGACGTATGATCTATGTGGCTTTATTATACCAAGGGTACGAAATATTGTGCGACAAGTGCTATTCACTATGCTATAAACGTCACAAATATATTCTAAAAAATGACAATTATCACGCCTTTAAATCCTGTTCAATTAATATTTACAATTTGTTAATTAACTTTCTTTTTGGTTTTCCTTCAGTCCATGCCATTATTTAAAAAATACATGTCATTTTCAAAGACAATTGTATTTTGCCAATTCGGAAAACCCTTAATGGAAAACTACCTACCTTTGTCTTGAAAACTGACAATGGCGATGATCGCCATAATATTCTTACAAAACTGACACTGGTACAAGCCTAGTGATCGCCATAAAGGAAATAATAATTAGCCCCTAATGGGTATTAGCTATTTTTTTCCATCCTCTAAGGTATTAGCCTTTAAACTGACACTGGCACAAGCTAAAGGCCGCCATAAAGGACATAATGATAAGCCCTTAATAATAATCACTGACCGCCAAAAATAATAATATCGTTAAAACAATGATGAAAGTCTGTGTAGTGCCTGTCATTGAAGATAAATAATAATAATATTTGATATCAATATAAATATCATGGCAAGCTAAAGAAGCTCTATTATAATTGACTACAAAGTTTTAATGATTTCTTGTTTCAAACACTCCTTGGCCCTCTTTATTGTTATTATTTTAGCATAATCATTTTGTTTAGAAGTTTCGGTACCAACACAACAAGTTTTTACCGACATTATGAAGGACAAGACGGGATTCGCTCTGGACCTTTTGGAGGGAAAAGTGTCGTTTTTATTTTGACTTTCAATTATTTTGTGAAACCTAGTTTAAATTGGAATAGAATAGTGTTATTGTGCATTAATCGAAGATTAAAACGCGAAATTATACGAATCTCGAACTAAAATACTGGTATCGGCCCGTTCTAAGGAATCCCGAGTCAATCCAAGCACGCCGCCTCAAATTGCCTATCCTCTTTGTGGCGGCCATATTTAAAGTAACATAATTAAACGAAGACGTAGCTCAAAGGACTTGTATCTAAGCCAAAATTATTAATAAAAAAAATGAAGGACAAGACAAGACAAGAATGCCATTTTGCTAGCAAAGATTTATTGCACTATTAGATGAACAATGCATGCATGGTTTTTGTTTTACGATTCATAATGCATGTGCAGTCACTCTCCGTGTTTATGTAAAAGCATAGTATGTAAGTAGATATTCCAGAGCTAATGTTCAGGTTTCTGTATTGGAATTTTAGACGCCTCCCAATACCTACGATTGTATGAAAAAATAATTGTAATTATAATATGAAAAACTTCACCATTCTCGTGCTAAAGAAGCCACTTTGCACTTCATGATCACCATCATATACAACCTGACTTCACCCACTGCTGGGTATAGGCCTCCAAGTTTCTGTGCCACTCCACACGGTCCCGCGCCAATCTCATCCATGTTGGCCCCGCAATTGCTGCGATATCGTCCTCCCATCTCGCCGCACTTTACACTTGCATAAAAAAAATCCAAATTTTAATCCATTTACTATCATAATAATAATAAAATCGCTTATTTATCGGTTTCAACACATCGATAAAAAAATATAAGCGACGTGTACAAAGTGTTTAGTAATAGCCCCATATCTTATAATTTAGCAACATTAGAGCTCCTTGTGAAAGAGATCGTCCAGGAAAGTACTGCCACCTTACCTATTTCTTGCTGCCAATCAGTAATGTTAGCATTACTTTATTACGGTTTAGAAGGGTAATGGTGCTGGTGAAATTACAGGCACATGGGACTTGTCAACTTTATGTCTTAGGGTGACGAGCGCAGTGGCAGTGCCCCTCAGATCTTTGTGATTTCAAGCTCTGAGTGCCACTGCAACTCTTATGGACAGGCGTGTAGCTTACCATCAGGCGCACGACTTGTTGATCCCGTCACTTGATATTATAAAAAAATCTTCTTAGTAAGTTTTGATTGACTTTCGTAACAGGCTATAGTGGTGGGAGATAAAAGCTCTGCACAATGGTGGAGAACTTTTTTCTGAGTGTTCGATCTTTGTTTTAATAATTATAACAAACTAGTGGAGTAATTTCACAAAAAATAATTGAATATCAATTGAATCAAAAATTAAAATGGTAGAGTGTTTCTCACCACCGCTGATATTCTGCTACAGGCCGCCATATTCAAAAAAAAAGAAAAACACATATAATTACAGTTCTAAAATTTCGAGCAAATTACTACTTACGTCACCGCTTTATTTCCATCATTATTAATTCGATTCATTCAATAGAAGAGGATCTATTGGAATCGTGAACCATCAACAATACCAGCCATCTGAGGTACACATATTAACTATACCTTAAAAATAATCTAAGGATAAGGAAACCATTTACAGGTCAGTGGACTTTTTCATAAAGCAATTTAGTAACCAGAAAAACACTTTAGTCAGTTATGTATTTACATTTTATACTATTACATGGTATTGTTAACCACAGCTCAAACAATGTAATGAGCACAAAATTTGCAGGGTACGTCATGGCTGTGCTTCTTTTAGCATGGTGTTCCAGTTCATGACATATTTTTTCAGGAAATTTTACCGGTAATCATGTTTTCCCGAAATTTTTATTTGACATTGAAATCTGCTGGCTACTGTCACAATAGAAAAGTTCATTCTTTTCCGATATGACGTTTAATAAAAATAAACGCGTTTGTTTATTTATCTCAAGATAATAATAAATAAACAATAGTTCATATTACACATAAAGGTAAACTCTATGTTATAAATATAGTGTTTCACTGCGCCGATAATATTCTATTACAGCCTTCCGTATTTAAAAAGGACTAACATGCACATCATAAAAATTTAAAATTGCCATTCAGTGTTACTAAATAGTAAGCAACAATGAATTGCCATACACGTATATTCATATATACGCAACGCCTTACCCACACAAAACTACAGTATACTCCATTTGTTTATGTACTTAACTAAATGTAAGCAATCTTGATATGTCTTTTTATTGAAACGTATACTTTACAAATCAATAGGTATAAAAATATGCATGCAATTTCATATGAAGCTAAGTACTTGTATTTGACGGTAATTAAAAATTATATTATAAATGTATATTTCATTAAATAGACATTACAAGATTATTTACATTTAGTTAAGTACCTAAACAAATCGACTATACAACCTCCAAAATTAGACAAGAGTAAGTTAAAACATTTTCTACGGAAAATATGTAGTAAGAACACAATATGACAGCACGGGCGGAAGAATTGGGAAGACCTTGAAAGTGGCTTATTTGCAACAACCCGAAGTACAAACTGGTAATTTATAAATATGCTCTTTGATTCCAGTTTTTTTTAAAGGGAACCCTGCACTTATTTAGAGATTGTAACAAAGCAGACCAATTTAAGTAGATAGAGTGAGCCATGTACGTTGTTTGTTATCGACTAGATGCGATGAAATATCTATTTACGTATTCTATGACAGTAACGCATACAAGAAATCTACCACCACCAAATAAGCACCATTTCTCTTAAAAAAAACTTCCACAGCGGATTTTCTACCTTAGAGAGAGGATTTTTTACCTTAAAAAATAAAGGTTTTTTTACCGACTAGTCATCTGTCAGAATTTTATTATAATTTGAACTTGTTATTCCAATAAAATTTTATATTCAGTCTTAGAGGATGGAAACAATAAATGCAGTTTTCTGATGTCACTTCTCAAGATAACTTTTATTGAATGTATCGAAAATAGGGTCGGGTTTTTTTTCTCCTCTAAGTCGATTGCATCGATGGACATTTAAAAATAACACATTTTTAAAATAAGAACACAAGTACAATTTTTAGTATAATAATAACGCACACACTCAACAATTTTAGAAGTTTAAAAAATCCGCCATATATACATATATCGTAATTTTTGTCCAACTGTAGTGAAACTGTAACTGGTCGCCAATAAATTGTAATGTTTATTGAGCAGGGCCCTGAACCTACTGAGAATCACAAACCACAACCTACATCAACATCCATACGCACTAGCCATGCCAAATGCAAAAATGCCATCGTAACTGAACGGAAACAATAGAGCGCTACGTGCAAGTGCGAAATCGATTGCAAATGTAGCCGTTACCTGCTGGTATGAACTAGTGAACTAGATTATTAGAAAGTCATTACAGTTCATCTTAGTGATCATAAATGTCAGTGAAGATCATTACCACTGCATGAAATTACAATTCGTAATCAATGTAAAGTAACATTAAGCTTTTGATTATTTACATAAAACTCACAACCTTCCGGGTTATATAAGTGGGTACTTACATTTTATTAACTAACTACACGCTCACGGGAATTAAATTAATGTCCACAACAAAAGTTAAAATTGTATACGACTTCAATAGTAGGTAATATAGCTCGTTTACACGGTGGGGTGGTGTGATCCGTGACCCTGTATGTTGCACCCGTCTGGTCTGGTTGCAGAGCCAGGCTCAATGGCGTGCAGCGCCGCATGGCCATAAGGATCACACGAGGATATCGCACCGTATCCTTTGACACGGCGACTGTCCTGGTGCGGTTTCCCCCGCTGGACATCCTAGCGGAGATGGACGCGCGTATTTACGCGCGCCTCAGCCAGGCGGAGGAAGCTCCGCTGCCGGAAGTGCAGTGGCAGGAGCGCCGACGGGCGTTCGAGAAGTGGCGCGAGAGGCTGGAACAGCCGTGGATCTCGCGCCAGCGCGCCGTCGGCGCGATCCTGCCCACCTTCGAAGTCTGGTTGAGCCAGCGGAAGTGCGTCACCACGTTCCGACTGACACAGATACTCACCGGGCACGCACGGCCTCCGAGCGGAACATCCTGGTTGCGCGGATCGGACGAGATCTCTCTCCACCAGGCATAATAGCGGCTATGCTGGAGGATCAAGAATCCCATGAGGCAGTGGTCTCCTTCTGTGAAGGGGTGATGCTCCAGAAGGAGGTCGCCGAGCGCGATCGGGAGAGGGCCGATCCCGCGCGGCGGCGGCGTATCTTCGCGGTTGCGGGCGATCGGAGCGGGGGTTTCGTTCGCCAGTAAGTTAGGCAGCCGCGAGGAGGACGACGGGGCTTTGTGGCCCGGTTCGTCGTGAGGAGAGGAGGGGGAGGACGTAGGTCCTCCTAGGTGCTGAGGGGGTTCCAGTGCGCAGTCTATCCCGGATCCCTCCCACTAGAGCACCCGAGAAGGCTACCGTGGGGTTTTAGCCGGTAGAAGTCCGACATAACCTCCCGACGCCCCCGCGGCGGAGAGGTATCCTACGCAAAAAAAAATTGTATTGTATCCACCTTAGTATTAGTTTTGCTCCTCCCAAGTCATCAATTAAAGTAAAAAAAAAAAAATAAATAAAAAATCCGTTTAAGGAGTTATTAAATAAAATAAAGGTTGTGGTAGAGTAAACAAGTGTCTGTTTGTAGAGTTTTCACGATCTATGCCTCGGTTATTTAAATACACCATTTCTTTAAAAAAAGGTACAATTAAAAGATACGTGTGTTGTATAGTACTCTGACGAAGTCGCCTAGAGCTATGACTCTGCCGCATCGTTGATAATTATTAGGCACTTTTTTTAACAGAGTTACTCTACATACGTTTTGTGGCTATAACTCGAGGCGGCCTGTCTAATGAGAATGTTTTGTGTCGACGCGTGGGCCTGGATAACGGTCTATTTATTAGGTATACCAAACAGTCTTGGCCACCAAACTAATATCAATCTGATTTATCATTATCATAAACCGACTTGGAAACCACTATGAAGAGGCGACCTGTCAATTTTATTTATTTACAGTTGGTTTAGCACACATGCGACTTTTATTTTCGTTCAGCACTTAATTAAGTTGTCAACTACGACAAACATGTCCGAATTCCAATATTATCACCGTTCGCGGTTTATTCGAATTACTTTACTCATTTTGCTCTAAGTACTTATATATATAACGTGAAGCTACAACTTAATGCAAACTTTACTGCACATACGTAGTAGTTTTAGTTAATAACCTAAGTCTAAGTGTTAGTCATTTAACTTATTCTTCGAACGGTATACATGATCTATTTTATAGGGCTAACTCGTGTTCTGCTCGAGCCATCATTGAGGAGGACATGTTTATACCTTTTATCGACGCATTAGGGCTCGGACGTGTCTCGAGTACCGAGGCCATTACGCCAACTAGATCGAGGAAACCGTGCACAACCTCAAAATAATCCACCGATGAAAAGCACTCTAACTCGACTATAAGTAAAGCCATGCTCTCAAATTGGCATTTTCTAGCGGCACAAGAGCAATGTTTCCTTCTTAGAGACGATATATCTGTTCGCATAATGAAAACGGAATGTAACTTGCGCAGTTGGCGTCTGACTTGACGTATGCTTGACTGTTCAAGACAAAAGCGCGACGGATTTGAGGTAAATCGACGAGTCGTGACCGAGTCGTTTAATCATAAGCATCTACGCTAATTAGAGTAGGTCGCGAACCCCTGGGACCAGTAATGAAAATCACAATTGAACCTAGTTGCGCTGGAAAATTGCACTTGGCATAGAATTCCTAGACGTTAACCGGCGGCTCGCGGCGAAGTGGTTGTCAACCCGCCACGAAATTGTAATTATGATCCGTTTTGCAGCGCACCATTGAAAAAAGGGAGAATTGAGACTAGCGCTAAACTCCGTACTATCTTCATTAGCTTCCTGTGATTAGTTTAATGTAATGCAAATTAACTGTTGTTATAAAGTATTACAACTTTATCCGACAGGACATCGATCAAACTGATGGCGCCGTAATAAGGATCGAGTCATCGAGACACTTATATTTTCCTATAATATATTTACTGACAAGTACCTACTAGTTCTCATCACAATAGCACGGATGTGCGATAGAACGGGGAACAGCGACTGCAATTTATAGCGCTCGCTATAATTACTTTCATATAGAGACAATACTGGTAAATCACCGAAGGTCAGAGGATCGTTCGCTGCGCTGTATTAATTCGCCGGAGGAGCTGTTTACGATACTTACTATTGAATAAAACTGGCTATAGCCAGGGAATTATGTTGTTGCATTACTGAGCAATTGAAGTCACGTAGTAGAAAATGTAGTTACATTTGCATTAGGGCGGTACTTCGGTCTGCAAACAGAACAACTAAAACTTTCCTCTACTGAGGTTTATAATGAGTAATGTTTGGTGTAAAGTCATTAAATGTAAGCTCAACGTACTTACTCTACACATACATTACAGACCTCTTCTGCAGTGTTTTAATGCATTAATCACTTTCGTAGTTGAGCGAAAATAAACACGCCTTAAAGTAAAAATGCTACCCATTTTTACTTCACACTTAAGTTTATTTTGTGCAAATACTTAAGTACTGTGTCATGTTAAATGATCCGTTCTTGGGAAGACTAGTGTTTTATCACGAGACTATTTTTAAATAATGACGGAGTGCATTGCCGTAATACATTGTGGCTAGAAGTGGCACCTATTATTTATAAAACGCGTGCCGGCCGGGCTGGCCGATGAGCACTGTAATTGTCTGGGATGACCTTTAGACAAATTGCTTGAATCTCGCGAACCAACACTTAACAATCTGTTCCCTTGATGGACCCTTTAACGCAGTATTAATCTAGTAAGTATCGAAATTACAGATAACAAGCGATTTCGAACTGCGCAGTGCGCACGCGCTATCTTGCCGATAGGGACACGAGCTTCCTTGCGCATTGCATGCACCATGCGCCGGGCCTGCACAGGCGCAGGAAGTGCAGTTGTGGAACCGGCTTGTTGGGTTAGGTATTTCTCCTTTTCTTGTTTACATAGTACCTACATAGATAGCTGGATCGAACTCACGAATAGATTTAATTCCGTGCCAACGAACTTTGTGTGCCCATTCAGTCCAAGCTTAATATTGTTTCACGAGGGATATTGAAACTATTATTGCGGGGTAATAGAATGTTACGAGAGCCCAGCGACTTGAACTAGCGGTCCGGCAATGGCTACTTGTCCCTTTGTCTCTATTACGGCCAGACTCGACAATCGGCCTTATCTACACGTGTATCTCTTGTTGGTATCACTCTATATGGAGGGCGGTGGGTATTATCACATCAGCGTGTACGGCTTCGGTCGCACGGTAAGGGCCAGCATTAGCATACAAGCAAATATCGCGATCTGCGGGCGCGGCATAGGCAGATTACCGTCGCAATGCTTCCGCACTGTATTGAATTCGGTCCCAACGGTCCCGACTCCCTTTGCGAGTTCACGTTTACTTGTTACTGTGATTCCCGAATGATAACAATCTCACCAAGTATAGGGTTAGAAGCTTTACGCTGTAAATGCGTTTACGTATGTTGGATATTATCTACTTACGTTCGTATTATATTCGGTACTTATAACTTAATAGAATTTGATGTGATTCATAATTTAGTATATATATATATTCGTAAAAGCAAGGTACGGCCGCGTAGCAATATACCACAATTCCTTGAAATTGAATGTTTACCAGCATTTCTTCAACTCCTAAAAATTTTATCAGTTCAGTGTTTCGGTAATAGACCATGTCTGTGGTAGTCACAAACACGTAATTTTTATGACCTCAGAATACATATACCTAAATATAGGTATATCGCACTGCTATTACAATAGTGTTGTAACTCAAAATTCAAGATTATACTAATGCGGAACGTAAAATTTGAATCTCTACAGTCACGTAATGATGTAAGTTGGATAATAGACTCTAGGATATTGAACTCGGAAATTACGAATAACGCGTAGCTGGTACAGATTCTGTCTTTAAATAAAGTGTAAGTAGTTTTTAAATACTTTGAGAGGAAGTAAATCCAAAGGAGCCACAGGGGACAAAGCTCATCGGCCATTTTAAATGTGATTGATATCTTTTTTCAAGGGACCATAGCCTACCCCCGCTTTCTACGCGGAAGTCACCTTAGAACAGTCTTGTGTCATAGGTACACAGAGTACCTACCTACCTAAAATTGTAGTTTAATATTTTTGGGTACACTTTCTATGATCATATTCATTTTATACTTAACAATCGATCTGACAGGCGCGCAAAAACCATAAATAGAACTACAAATACATTTTTAAATGTATTTAGATTCCTGAATTAATACTCCTACATTAGCTCCCACACAACAACATCGCAGCAAGCGGTAGGAGAAGGTAGATAACGGCGACATTAGCACTCGACTTGTACGAACAAGAACGCTGGGCCCAGCATGTTGGGCGCGTACCAGGACGGTCGAAGTACGCGTAGGGTCATCAGGTATTGCGTGGGAACTAAAACAGATTGCTACGAGTACGTACACTGAGCCCAATAAGTTTCAAGGTAACTTTTACGTTAGACTGTGAAACATCTATGAAGATATACGATAAGTAGATATTCGTACGTAAAACGCTCTACTCTCGTTCTACTTCTCGATCTACTATGTTCATCTTCGTATTTACATCATTGTGCTGCATAAACGCAACAATAGACGTTGACACACCATTGGTTACATTGTACCTCCAATGACCAGTATGCCACATGTATACTAACTAGGTAGATGGGGTTAGTACCTGCATCTAAATGAATTTGTGTTGCTCTGTGTAATAGGCTAAACCATCGAAAACGTCAGTACACTAGGTTGTTAGGCATATATACTTACATACTTACCCAATTCGTGTTATGCTCGTGCGTAATGATGTAAGATGGATAATAGACTGCAGGATATTGAACTCGGAAAATACGAATAAGGTGTAGCTAGTATTGATTCTATCTTAAATTAAGTGTAGGTAGTTTTTGAAAGGGGGCAAAGCTTATCGGCCATTATAAATGTTATTGATATGTTTTTAACCGTAGCATAACCTACCACCGCTTTCTACGTAGAAGTCGCCTTAGAACAGTCTGATGTCACGGTTACACAGAGTAGGTACCTACCTAAAATTGTATTTAAGATTTTTGGGCACAATTTCTGTGAGAGAATATTATAGATAGAATAGATATATATATGGAATATTCATTTTTTTATTTAGAATATTCATTTTTATGAGATATATAGAATATTTATTTTATACTTAACTATTGATCTGACAGAGTATTTTTATAATGTTTATTTCAATGTACGTATATTTAACGGTTGCACGATTGGTTTGTTCATCATCATCATCATCAACCCTATTTATAGGTATGTCACACGGCTTGGCACGGGTCTCCTCTCAGGTGAAGGTTTAGCCCATAGTCCGCCACTCTGGTCCAATGCGGGTTGAAGACTTCACACGTTTTCCGAGGATTGTAAACCTTTTTCGACGTGCAGGTTTCGTCACGATGATCTCTTTCACCCAAAAGCTCATGGTAAATTTCAAATTAAGTCACATAAAGCCCGAGAAACTCAGAGGTGCGATTCGAATACACGGCCTCTGCTCAAGAGGCTATACTTGACAGAAGACCTTCAATTGTAATTTGTTACAGATCCGTTAGTTTTGTATCGACAAATATCGTAGTAGGAGTGTAGTTTTTTTGGTACTTGGTACTTGGCGCAACGGGCTGGCGTCAAGTACCAAGTACCAAAAAAAAACTTCACTCCTACTTTTTTGGTAATTGTCAAAGTAAAAAGTATTTGTCGCGCTTGGCATTGTTTTTATTAATGTCTTCTAAAATTATTATTTTTCTCAAAAGTTGACCTGCCCTGCTTTTCGGATATTTTGTTAGAGTTTTATTTATTACTTTACCTACAGTGAGTCTATGAGCTTTTATATTTTTATTTTTACTAAACTACCTTAAACATTGCACAAATTAATATAAACTGCCAATAATAAATAATATCATAATTTAATTAATAATAACTGCCTTCGTGGCCGAACAGTTACACATGCTGGACTGCCACGCAGAGTTCTCGGGTCGGGTTCGATTCCCGGCCCAGGAGAAATGTTTGTACCTATGGCCTATATTTATTTATCTCGAGAGTTTGGGTGTAATTTAAATTTTTTATAAGTAATATCAAGTGACGGGACGAACGAGTCGTGTGCCTGATTACCATCAGCAACACGCCTGTCCATAACAGTTGCAATAATTTGTGGTTGTCTACGGGTGTGTTTCCATGACACCCGCGATTACAGGGTTTCCCTAGTACGTTATTATCAATATATCAAGACTTTGTAATAAATATAATAATTATATAGTCTCATTAGTTATAATTTCACACAAAGTTAGTCACATTGAGCTGACTTTCCCTATTCATCTATTTTGGGTACTTTAATTAGGTAGGTACTATATCATAAGTAGGTATAGTTTAAATTTGGTAACTAAATAGATTATGGGTGGTAGGTCGTATACTTAGGTACATAAATTATATTATACTGTCATATACAAAGGCACATGTGATATGTGATTGTAAATAAACTCGGTATATGCATAATGCGACACGCGTGGGAAATCTTCGGGAGATCTTACTTTGCTGCCGGAAACCTTAAGGCATTAACGTTGTCAGTAGCTAATCAAGTCTGGTTGTTACAAGTATTAATGGTATGGGTACTGTAAAGAAAAGACGGAACGCACCTTTATGACTAGTTTATTGCAGTATTTAGACGCAAAAATACAACCTTTCAGGCTATACAAACCTGGAGGCGCTGTGTCACGTAGGCATCATCATGTTCAGCTTGTAATAGGTAATAGTCTAGTCTTCAATTGTTTATTTTCCATTGGACGCTAATTGACAAAAATTAGCTATGCCCTTAGTTAAGCTTGTATGAAGTAAATACAGTCGCTTACATTAAAAAGCATATAAGTGCCTACGTAGACAAAATAAAATAACATCCGTTTACGCTTAATGATTTATCGTAATGTTTTAACCAACTACAACTGTGAAAATGTAATTTTAATTTAGCTTCGTGTATTGTATTCACAGCAAGTTATTGTACGGTGTAATGCGCATATTGGAGGATGGTAGGTACTCACTTATAGGAGTTTACGTCATTTTCACACAATAAATACCCGATCACATCGTGTTGGTATTTGTGAAAAACGGTGTCGAAGTTCAAAGAGCAACGTTAGAGGCGATGCGGAAAATTATAGAGGGTTGGTGCGGCGGTTGTGGGCAAACAAAGCGCAGGGAAGGTAGGTAGTCATTGACAGAGGTCACGGGACGCAGCCGTAGGCCGAAAGCTGACTGTGCGCCCCGCTGACCCAGACTGAGGCTACATAAATCGCTAACGATGACATTCGCGCGTGTCTACGAATACATTTCATTAAGTGCCAGGTAATTTACATGAGTTTACGATCTTGTGCCGCAGGAATATCTACTCGAACACGATTGGGAATCTTACTATGAATTAAATTATTAAATGCTACCTCTTTGGATAATTCATTACAGACCATGGGAAATAATCCAATCGCAACAATTCTGTCCAATTTTATGTGCACTTACAGCTTTTGTATAGAAATTAATTAATATGGAGCCCTTTGATAGGCTGACGATAAATAAAACATTTACATTACATGGACGTTAGTGAGTTGATAGCGCAAATCAATCGAAGTCTTCTCACGAAAGAATCCCGATTATCTGTTATGTTTTACTGCTTATTGCGTAGAGACATAAATACAAATGTTTAATGACCTTATATACTCTTTACGAAGCTGTTTTATGGAAGAAACGAAGTGTATAGTAAGTACAAAATCGGTAATCAAAACGCCTTACAAAATGTTTTAGATAAGACTCACGAACATAATTTTAGATGATGATTTTGCCATTAGTTATGCGTCTGAAGTTTTTTTTTTATAGACGCAGTAGCTGTGTCACTTTTTTTATCTGTTTTTATCTTACAATATGTATTAACAGAGAAAAAAAATGGTGCATTCTAAGACTATTTTAAGGAGAAAACAATACTCTACTTAGCTAAACCCTTCATATAATTATATATTGTACGAGTACAACTTCAAGTACTAAGCTAGAAGAGACAGATACAACGCCGGCACTAGCCCGTGTAGCGCCTAGGTGCAATCAAAACCCTCGTGCCCTCTAGTAGACACGCAATCAAAATATACTACTGAGGCCACAAGTTCTCAACGGTAGTGCGTTCAAAGTTTGCGCGCAAACGTGTCTTGTGTTGGGTACATCCATTTTATGGCCTAATAGTTCTATTTTCCCCAATGACAGGCAATTCGGATGAATCCAACATAAGACACAATGTACGCGCAAACCTTGAACGCACCACACTGTTGCGAATTTGTGGCCTTATTGTTATTCAGAAGCAATTGCCCACTTACACTCTCAGCACCCCCCAAAGACCTTGCGCCGTATGCACCGCACACCCTGCACCATAGGTAAAGCCAGCACTGGGTTGATGTGACATGGTGCTACGTAGCGAGAAAAACACAAATAAAGCGAATAAAAATCCAATTCAGGCACTTTATAACAAATGTAATCACATGAGTTTATAATGAAATTATTGAACATAATAAAAATAAAATCCAGGAGACACATTTTCATGTAGATAATGAAAATAAAAACAAAAATTTCATAGTAAAGACAAAAGTTTAATCTTAATCTTATTACTATATGTACTTGGAAATATAGTCTACGCCTCTAAAATTTTCTTATATTTATTCAAAATTTTAATATTATTTGTATTTTCATATATTTGTAATTGCACATTTACACATTCAACAACAAAATTTATGGCATTTTGAAAAATATGTTGTGCTCTATGCAGGTTTTGAGGAACTAATATTCCAAACCATCGTAGAGGGTTGCATGTGTTCTCGGTATTGTTTTCTTTAACTTTCAATTGTTTAATCCCATCGTCCTCTGAAGTTTCACAGACAGTTGATGCTGCAAACTCTGCACTCCCTTCGACAGGCAACTTTGTTGAACTTACAGAGCTATGACCCATAATATAGCGTGATTTTGCAAGGTGAAGACTTCCATTATTAATGCTCGTCTCAATGTTCAGTTCACAGCGCATCTTCTCCTCCATCAAATACAATTGTTTCAAAGTTATCTTGTCAAGTAGCATGCATACCGTATCCATATCAGGACCAGTGGTGTCATCTGCGAAGGTAATGGAAATAATCCATGGTAAACATACAGTAGGTACACGATTATATGCTGTAAGCGATGCAAACCTATTGTATGTAATAATATAATAAGACCTATAGAGCCCTTACTTTGGTTTGTTTCAAAAACAAATAATTCTACGCCATTTACAATTTACACATTTTTTCAAAATGGTTTCAATTTCTATGTGTAACAATCGCGAAATCCTAAGAAAACAACACTTAGCATTTGAACTTGGACAACTTTGTGAAAATATCTTAAACATTAAGTTAGTCACAATTTTGTAAAATTATATGGTGCAATAAAGTTACCTGAGGTTCTAGTAGCCATTGTTGTCCACAACTTACACCTGCTTCCTAAATTTTTTACTAAAACAAAAATTCAATAGAACTCATAACAAAAGCTCAAACAACTAATCACATGACTCAAATCAAATGACCCCAATGAATAACCAATAACCAACCAAACCTTGATTCCAAAGAATTCGAAATACTTAATTGACATTTGTTTTGACGTTCAGAAATTATTTGTAGCTACTATCGACTTACCAACCGGTGAAATAATAAAAACCTTATGTTAAAAATCTCAGGTGGTATTACAAATCAAGGACACAAATAAGTTATTTTATCCATTGGATATGATTTATGAAAATAATGCCCAATATTGTGGTGACGCGTTGATAACATAAACCAAAAAGCCAACGACCAATATACGTCACTGACTGACATGTGGTGGTGAGACAAAAATGGTGCCCGTTTACCAGCTGGCATTCATTTTGTAAAATTGCAAATAGTCTTCGCCATTGTTGTGATTATTTAGCATGGCGTCTGTTTTAGATCTAGTAAGGCATTATCAACATAATATAGAGAAATATCCTCACGATGAGCAGAAAGTAAGTACCAGTTTCTTGAGTTATATTTTTAGGAGATAAGCAGCAAACAAATCTGCTCCAATGTCTGTCTATAGCTTCAGGGCGGGTCCCGAGGGAGACGGTAGACTTAATTACCAACTTTATCATTTTTCTAAATCATATATTTCTGTACAAGAGCTAGTCTGTTGCCAATTAACGATAAATTTCATCACATATTGCACGACATAAAGTAACTTTTTCCTATATGTCTGGCGCATGCATAATATTATGTATAAAGCGTTCTTCACATATTCACTTGTCAAGTATAGAGTCGTCTGGATATATACTGTAGTCGTGTAGCGGAAATTGGTCATTACCCATGCGACTGACAATTGGCCAATAAAAGCATCTTCAAACCCTTGTTGCAGGTTTTAAAGGCAATTGATAAATTGTTTTCTTTGGATGTAAAAGTGTCACATCTACAAGAGACAGGTGTCGGTCGTACTGTAAACGCTCTTCGTAAAGAACCTGGCCATGTGGGGAAAGCAGCAAGAGCTCTTGTTTATAAATGGAAGGAGATGGTGGCAGCAGAGGAAAGTGACCAGGAAACCGATCATGATAGTGAGATTCCTAATTATAAATAAAACTAATGAAATAATGCATGCACTTTGGGAACAATTAGTTAAACTACAATTAATAAGTATACCTCACTTTTATATGTTCTATTTATTTATGTTTTTGTTTTGTTTATGGTTTGGAGAATAATTTAATAAAAACTTAACTGCATTAAGACTTTTATTTTAATATTACACAATTTGGTAATAAAATAATGATTTCTCCAAAAATTAATTCTTTATTCATAAATTTTATTCATATTCATTTTATAAAGTGTAACTTTATTCCGTAATGCAGTCAAGTTGTATAATATAAAATGGTAAAGAAAAAGGTATACATAAAAGCCAATATTTTATATCATAGTCAAGTGGTTGATAAAAAAATTGGGAAACTATTACGAAATGTGTGAATTAATTCGTAATCAAAATATAAATGTATTTTGTAGCTGCACCACATAATGGACATGAAAAGGTTTCTGTATATAATGCAAATCCATCGATGAGCCAGAATGTCAAACATGAAGAAATACTTCGACCTGGAGATAAGGATCACAGGCAAATTAATGGTGATAGCACTAGCAAGAGGAAGTACCAAAGCAGTGAGGTGAGTTCTTAATTAAAGAAGAAGCTTCTACCCTCAGCATATTTTTTGTACACACTGACCAAAAAATCACTTCATCAATGGGCAATTTTACCCATCTTAAGAAAGTGCAAAGGGATCATGTACCATGCATCAGTGCTGCCATCTAATGCTCTTATCTCTAGGATTGTATCTTGATTAATAAAGATTTCAAGATTTTTGGCCTTGTGTCCTATTGAACTGTTCACAACAAATCAAACTTGCTTCAGTTAGAAGATTCAACTCCTAAAAATTTTATACTGTCTTCAAATTCTCATTATTAGAGGTGTATAATTTACTACATTTATTCGTTCTAAAATGATAGGTTTACGACATAGTTGTGTGGTATTGTGTTTAAATTTCACCATGAACATTTATTGTTTATTCCAGGAAGAAGAAAGTGAATTGAAAAGGTCAAGGCACTCCAGTTCCCATTCACACCACAGTCAAAGTAAAAGAAAACATGTTGAAGTAAAATCAGATAGTGACAGTCAATCAGACTCCCAAAATGACGATAGTGACTCTGAATCATCTGATGAACAATCTGAGGAAGAGACTAAAGTAAAAATAAAAACTGAACCTGAAGATAAACATGATCAATCTCAAACAAAATACTCTCAAAGTACTCCTATTGATCACAAACGAGAATCGTCCAGTTCAAAAAAATCACATGTATCGTCATCGCATACACATTACAGCTCTAAACATCACAATTCTGATTCTTCTAAATATAATTCAGACTCTAAGCACTCTGAAAAGGCGACAAAAGACAAATATAGCTCTAAAGAAAAGAGTTCAAAGGAAAAAGAAAGTAGTTCTGATAAGTCATACAAAGAGCACAAGTCATCTGATGAGAAAAGAAACAAAGAAGAATCAAAACCTAAACATAGCTCTGAAAAGCATAAGTCGAGCTCACAAAAGACGGAAAATGGTTCTGAAAGACACAAAAGTCAAAATAAAAGTGTTAATAAGGAGAAACACAGTAGCTCTAACTCAGAGAAAGATAAATACAAAAATATGCCAGATAAAGACAAGCACAAGAGTTCTTTGGAGAAGGAAAAAGACAAAGACAAGAGTTCGTCTGAAAATCAAATCTCCAGTGATAAACATAAGTCTAAAGAAAGTAGTTCTAAACATAAAAGTTCTTCAAGTAAAGAGAAGTTGAAAGATAAAAGTAGTTCTAAAGAAAAGTCTAGTAGCAGTAATCACAAAAGTGGCAAGAAACACACTAGTGAAAAGTCAAGTAGTGAAAGTAAGAGTAAATCTGAGCGAAATGAAAATTTCAACAAGAAAGAGTCAAGTCAAAAATCTAGTTCCTCTTCATACAAGAGTAAATCGAGCAGTAGTAAGTCTAAGGAAGAGATACCAAAGAAAAAAGTTAAAATTAATGAAGATTCAGTAGACAGTGATGAAGGAATTGGCTGTGAATCTGGTGAGTAACTTTTTCAGACATTTTAAATAACTGTCTAAATTGCTGACTTCTGAAGTTGCATATCCTATATGTTTCAAGAACAAGAGATATTGTTTTGTATTTTTAAAATGAAAGTGAATGCCACGTTATAACAAAATCATATCACATTTGGAGCAATCAATCTATTGCCGAGTTGATTAGAGTAGTGCTAATAAAGCAAAAGTCCCTGGTGCTATTCTTTCATGGGTTACTAATTTAAATATTTTGTTATTATATAATTTACAGGTACTAGTTTTGCTGAAGCCTTGGGAATGATCACCCCTTCAAAATCTAAAAAGAAAAATCCAATCAAAGGTGATAATTCGCCTGGTAATCCAGTAAATAATGACGTAAGTTACAATTTAACATTTTTTGCTTAACCATATACATAACATACTACTTTTATGTTTTGCGTAAGACAACAATCACAGTGTAGGTACATTCAGTTTGTTAAAAATTGAGGAAAACCACAATTGATAACATATCAAAATTGTCAGGAACCTAAACATAACAATAACAAGTTGAAAATAACTTAGCCCTCATATTAACCAGTTACATAACTTATTTAAATAACATTTCAATGATTTTGGTCAAGGATTGCATAATTCATTAATAGCTTGACGACTGAAGCACAGGCAGATGTTCGATTTTAAAATTATACTTTTATTACTTATTAGGTTGCATATCACAGACAAAAGCCAGATAGAAGTGAATCAGAACTCTTCGTAAAAATATCGTTCAAAGTATTTAATGTTAGTATAATGTTGTGTACTAAAGTATCAATAAACAATACCAGAAATAAAGTGGATTATAAGAACAGTCAACCGTGACCGTGGGACCAGTAAATGGCCCGAAACGTTGTTTTGTTTGAAAAAACAAATATATACGCAATTTAAATCCGGAAAATAAAATAATAGTTTCATTTCCTGTGTGTCGCTATCGCGTAAAGTCTGTATGATAGCTGTGCTACTAGTAGACAAATGTCTTTGCGGTATAAATTGTGCCAATGATTGCCAAAAACTATCTGTTACAGTTAAGTCCTGCTAACTTATTAGCACCTACCGCGAAGCTTGCCCCTTTGCCGGCTATAGAGATCTCAGGGCTACCAGAGATCTCTCCCAACTACAAGCCCCGTCCGCCGCCCAAATTCCTACCGCACTTCACTGACGAAGATGCTATAAGCGCGGGTATATCAACTAAAAACCAAAGGTATGCGCTGTATTTTTTCTCAATAATAATACGGTGTTCTACTACAAGAGCCCAATTATACGTTCCACATTGGGTTTTCTCTACTACTAGTTTTAATCAGTTTTAATTAAGTTTTATTTTTACTGGGTCTGCATTGTCTTTTAGATTTTTTAATTTTTTTTAATTCTATTTTTTATAATTTCTCTTTTCAAATATATCAGTGATTTTCAGGTAAGTTTTTTGTATTCAATTTTGGTGACAATTTTTATTATTTTATTACTCTAATATATCATCGTGAAATATAAAAGAATATTTCAGGTTAGCACACTCGAATATTAAATCATACTTAATGATAATATTCTATAAATATTTAATTAAAAAGAAATTGTCACCAAAATTGAGTACGAAAAACTTACCCGAAAATTACCCATCTGTTTATCTAATTTACATATTTATAGAACAAAAGTCTACTCCGGCAACAAGGCCATCGGGAAAGTGCCGACTCTTTACGAAATGTGTGTACTGATACTTCAAGAACACATTGACGGTGAGTCATAATACACAAAATATTACTTTGTCATTTTATATCCAATACTTTTGTTCTTATTGTTAACCGACTTTAAAAAAGGAGGAAGTTCTCAATTCGACTATATGTTTTGTTGTATGTATAATACGTTATTACTCTAGCACTTGTGAACCAATTTTGATGATTCTTTTCTGTTGGAAAGAGGGTACCTCAGATGTAGTCCCATTTAAATTTGAAGAAAGTATTCCACCTCTAAGGGTGGCAAATTAGGGAATGAATGACTTTTGAGGTCGGTTTTTTTAGTACTCTGTACAGAGATTATTATAGGCTAAACACCATTCTTGTCTGTTACAGCTCTTGAGTACACCGGTGGAGTTCCCTACGAGATTTTGAAGCCAGTCGTGGATAAAGCAACGCCACAACAATTGCATATGTTAGAGCATTTTAACCCATATTTGATGGAAGATACTGACCACCTATGGCAGAAGCACTGTGAGAAACACTTTCGTGGAAAGAAGCGCCAAGAAATGGAGACATGGAGAGAAATGTTTGCAGTAAGTTGGATCTTGGGTAAATTTTAGTAATTCACGTTTATGTACCATAGGCATCCTGTGTAAAAAATTTTTGCGATAATATATACTCTAGGTTCATACAATGACGGGAACCTGAACTAAAAAAAAAAGATAGGTAGGAAAATATACAAGATCGAAAATTATCCCTGATCCCTATAATTGTGACGACCTAAGTGGCCCAACCAACCAATTTAGGATTTTTTTTATAATATCAAGTGACGGGACAAACAAGCACCTTTTCTGGCCTGAGAGATCCGAGTAGTGCCCTAGAGTGAATTCCATTGCTCTGTAATAATTCATAGTACAGTGAATTCCTTAGTTTAAGAATATTATTATTATACTATATATGTATAGCTGTATTATGATATTATATAATGACAAAAAATCAATTCAAATTTCGTTTCATGTAGAGATGCCAAGAGGAACAAGAGCATAGACTCAAGTCGCTGACGGCGAACATAAAAATGACTCAAGAGGCAAAAAAAGCGCCGATTAAACAAACTAAGATGGCGTACGTTGACAGTGTTGTAAAACCACCCAGGAGCATCGCTAGAAAACAAGTAAGTTGTGGTGTTATATATATCAGCATACATATAATACACAATTTTTTTCATTCGGACCCTCCCCCATTTATATGCTATGATAGGTCTACGATTTTATTTATAGAAAATATCTGAAATGTCCATTGCCTATCAACAAGGTCAATGAGAATGTGTTTTTTGTCAAGTTAAGAGTAGGCCTCTACTCAATAATCATTATACGTACATAGACATTTGAATTTGAAATTAATGGATTTTATTGATTTTCCTGCTGACGAAATGGAAAAAGCGTTCGAAAACGCAGAAAATGGAATAACACGTAGATTCAATGCTTCCGGGTTCACAAAGGTCTTTTTAAAAAAGTAATCGTACTGTTTGCATTTTGACAAATAATCGACAATGCGACAAATAATCTTGATCTATTCTAAAATAATAAGGATTATTTCTTCACGCCATTTAGTTTGGAGCGTCCGGAGCATCGCAAGCTTTATACAAAATATCGTTATTGTATTCTTTGTGCTAAAATGAACAACATTTAACCATCGAATACAATTGCGAAAAGCAGTTTCTTCCTAACTCATTTACTCTTCAGGCAATACGACTCTGGAACGCTCTACCGCCCCATATTCAAAAAGCGCTGAATAAACTAGCTTTCAAGCAATTAGTTCGCGATTTCATATTGGAGTCTCAATCTACATCCCATTAGTCTGACATTGTTATATATCAATATGTATATTAAATATATATATGTATGTATTATATATTTTTGTGTATATAGGTTGCTTATGTAAGTATATAGTTAGTCATATAATATTATGTGCTATATTTATATTGTGTTTAAACTATATATAATAATTATTTATAAACTTCTTCCTATCTGTTTTAATTATCACCTTATGTACGCCTGTTAATTATTTTGAACCCAGCTCTCCGGTTGACTGGTAGAGAATACCTAATGGCATTAAGTCCGCCATTTGTACTATTTTGTATGCAATTAAGTTTAAATAAATAAATAAAAAGCGTATAATTTGCCGAAGGCGTCAGGAAAGCGATCGAATGTGACGTTCGAACAATCATAAATGAATGTTCTCTTCATTTCATTCATTGTCTCCATTGTCTAGCAGTTTAGCTGTGAAATTCAAAAATTTAAACGTTTGTTACAGGCTTTGCACGGCACGGCACATGCGTCGTCGGCCAGTCCAGCGGCGCGCGTCGCTGCGCTTGCCACGGCTCCCAATGTCCTCAAGACTGGGTCGGTTCGACCACCTCCCGCGCCCTCTATGTCATCCTCAAGTGCCAATCGGCCCAAAAAGGCTCCCCTAATGCAAAAAGCCCTTCAATTCATGCGAGGTCGCAAGCGATGATGATGAATTGAAGTGATAAATCGGTGACATGGTGCTACCAAACTTTCTTCGTGAAAATGACGTGTTATTCATATTGCGCTAGTAGTAATTTTATGAATTCAGGGTTTGTTTAGCATCCTGCTATTGATTGCACAGTTCGATTGTTTTACTCAGGTAAGTAGGGTTTCATTTTGCAATGGACTGAATGGTAATATTTTAAAATTTAACTTATGACAGTAGTTTTCCTTTGTGTCGCAATAGAATTTGAACAAATGGCAATCAGTGTTAGTGATACATTATAGATAACCCCATTACGCGTTGGTAATTCTTATTTGGTCTAATGTTACCGCATGCATTAATAGTTTTTTTATATATAATTATTTGGCAGTACTCCGGATTCGAAATCGAAGACCAGTGTTGGTCGTTAATGAAATATAATTAAATTGGAGGTTCATACAATTATTATTGACGTTGTCTCATTCACTAAATCGCAACGTAGTCAGGTACATAACAATTAGTTATTTTTTTATTAGAGAGCTTTTAGAAATACTGACTAAAAACCTTAGAATCTGGCACTGACATCTAACTATTATAGATGTTTGTGTACCTTCTGTATCAGAGGTTTGTTTTTACAGTTATCAGTACCAAAATGTTTAATGGTATTTATATATTGTAAATTCTACTTTTTGGGGACATACACCTTCTGTTCAATTTTGCGCCACACCGAAAAGCATATTCGTATGATGGTTACCTCTTTTGGTCCGTGGCTGGAATATAACCTTTAATACTTTATCTTATGATAAATGTAAATATATTTTTATATACTTGTAGATATTAGCTCAATGACGAACCCATAGGCAAAATATGTACCACATTGTAAATAGAAACGTTATTTTTATAACATACTGTCATTACCGATAGCCTATTTGTAAATTTTGTTCCTTGTGAAACCAAAAACAAACCGAGTAAAACTAGAGGTGAAATAGAACAAATAATGTGTTTCTGAAATATAAACAGTAGTACTAGTGGAAATATATGTTAGGTATATATGTAATATTAATTTTAAATGCCATTTATTGTTAGGTAGCAATCGTATTGCATTTGTGTTCGTCGTCTAGTTGAAATAATATATGTATAACTACTTTATATGTACGTCACGTATATATGTCTACGCATAGTTTATGTTGCCGAATCTGAATATAACTTAAATTTTGCATTCTTTCGCACAACCGCGGGTATCCAAGATCTTTAACAAATGTCTTCGCTTTTTCTTGTTTTTGGCTATAGAGCCAAAGTTATTAAGTTTTGTTAAATAGCCAGAATACCAAAAGATTGGGACGCTGTGATAGGTAGGAAATAAAAAACAAAGAATGTGATGTAGGTGTATAATAATACGCCATTAACCCTTCAAGGAAGACAATGTTAGATAGGTATCAGTATGCCTGAAACTTTTGCTATTTCATAAATAAAATCAATGATATTGCAAGTTTTTGATGATTATTTAAAGTTATAGATACAATCATATTTTGTGCCTCGATGTCACTATAGGGACTTTATACATCAAGTACGTATTTTTGTAAATACATAATTGAAAAACATACATTACAATTGAAGTAGTTTTGTTGAAAGTGAGAATAATTAGCACTCTAGAAAATGTGATGAAGATCTGTGGTTAGTAAAGGAATGAGAAAAAACATCTTTTGTAGCTTTAAGTGAATAGTTTTACAAATTTATTTTTAATTAAAAGTTAAAATAACCACTTGCTACGTTTTCTTATTGAAAGACAGCAGGAGTGAGCTGAAGACTCCTTACATTTTAATTATATGATTGTAAAATCTTATGAGTATCAAACAAATGCCATTATTTATTACAGATACAATAAATATACATAATATGGATTTAAAAATGTGTGGTCTTTTCCTAAAATCATTTTCACCTATAAAAATCATGGCTTTAGCACTTACCACATAAAACAATTAACAAGAAATTCTGACCACTAGCCAGCCTTTTAACTCTGCCATATTATATATTTAGGTGCTGCATCAGTACAATACCACGTCAATATTATTGAACTTCAATTTCAATTGCTTTTCGTAATCCGTATTAATGATCCTTGGGCACATGTACAAGGCTAGGAACTTCAAATTCTTGTAATATTCCGAAATGACATCCACTATAACAGGCGATATGTTTCGTATTCTGGAGAGGCTTAAAGTTTGCAGAGTTACCATTGCGGGACTTCCTAGAGCCCTCAACAAATTAGCTTCAGTAAAGTTTGCATTATTCCATATTTGCAAATGATCTAAACGTTTAAAATTTGTAAGGGCTATTAGTCCTTCGTCAGTAAGATTTTCACACCTAATTATAGCCAAGTCTTTCAACATTGGACAATGAGATAACATTTTGAGGCATTCATTGTTTACTGCGTTATCTCCATAGATATGCAAAGTTACCAAAACCTTCTGCTGAGCCAAAATCAGTTTCATTATAAATTCCAAATCAAGACCTCTTATTTTCTCAATGTAAATGTGACTTAAATATTTGCAACATAGTAAACTTTCACTGTTCGTTGAATTAAGGCCAAATTCAGATAAAGATAAATGGTTGAGATACTTGAACTGGTCATACTGAATATTCAGATCTGTACTGGTCTGCAGTAACAGAGAATTCTTCATGCTTAGCTTCTTTAAATTTGGCCATCTTGCAATGTCTACTTCAAACTCTTTGCCAATTCTGCACATAACAAGTTCAAGAGAAACTAAGTTATTACATTTCTCTAAAATGGATGCTATGACTGAGTAACTGTAAACATATTGCAGCCGTAAACAGCATATGTATGTACAGTGTGACTGAATAATTAGTAAATTTTTAGCGCTTACTTCACTTTGGCCTGGTTTACCAGAGTATACTATTGTAATGTTCTTCCATAGCGTCACATCTTTTGCCAATTTCTTCCAGCGCTGACAAACATTCTCACACGCTAGAATAGCGTCTAATGGTAAGAATTTAAAGATATTTATAATCAACTCGTCTGGAAGAATGTTGATGTCTTCGGAAACCATTTCTACATCTGTAGCAGTCATCTTCGAAACCTAAAAAGGGAATTTATACAATTGATATCCGTTTGAAATATGTACTTAAATATAAATTTATAACTACCTATTTATATTTCTTTATATAGATATCAAAATCCACTTTGTGGGGTCACATACTAGGATCCAATATAATTTATAAATTAATTACTACTACTAAACTACTACTACCAAAACAATACGTTAAATTAAAGTTAATATGTTATTAAATTTAATATATAATAATAAAATTATGGACGTACCAAAATAAATGTTACAACACCAGTTTACTGCTGATTAGAAGAGGTAATTCTGTAAACAATTTACAAACTACGTACTTAGTCTACTATAGCATAAATTGCAAATCATTTCCACGTCTAATTTTGGCTACTCAATTATTTTGTTGCTCACTCTTCCCTTCAATCCATTAATCGGGAATTCTAGCGAGGGGTATTCTGTTGTGATTTCAAGCAATGCTACCAAGCATAAAATAAAAATCAATGACTAGCGGCGAATTCAAACTGGTGTAATACACGCTGCTTCGGAACTATATTATTACAATCATATACCTACTTACAGTAACTCCATCATACAGCTTGTTAATTTATTTATTAACGAAGACAAGACAATCAATCGGTAAAAACACTTTTCTTACATTTCAAACCATTACCATTACGTCATATTCACACTACTATAAAATATGTGCTCCTTCTCAAATATAGAGTGTATGATCTATGGTGCTCCTAATTTTGACGTTTGACTGTTTCATGTCGTCGACGTGTCGTCATCTATGGTGTCGTCGACTGCGATAAATTGACAGTTGTTTATCGCAAAGTTGGCGTCACTGTAGTGTAGTTTTTTTCGAAAATTCGAATACACAGACCAAACACGTGTCTATTGGTATTTTTAACCTATTAAAAAAATATTACCTTAAGAAATTTGTTTAAGTTTCTTAATTAATACTAACTTAGTAGTAATATGCAAAATAACGAAATTATATTGAAAACACATAGTTGCAAGAAAGTTCAAATGTAGTGAGTGGATTATACAAAGCACGAGCTCGAACTTCACACGGAACGTACTTGGATGTCTCTTTTATCTCAGACGAGCCTGAGTGAGATAAAAAATCCGCAATTCCGCATCAAACCGCCTTTTTATTTTTTTGCTGGCGCCCCTTTATTCAGTGAGACGTAGTCCGTCGGGGCGGGTCGTCACTTTTAAATTACACCACGTCCTTTGTGAATTACTTTAAAGTGTAGGGCGACCCGATACCTAACCCGACTAAGTACTTAATTAGTCAGCCACAATGCTACACTTAAAGAACATAGCTAAAACTGTAGTTCCGCCTTTAAAAAATTCTATTCAAAATGAGGGAGTCAATAATGTGCTTAGAATTGCGCCCGCTGCTGTGAATGTTTGTTGCCGTACCTACGCGAGCCATGAAATCCCAGACAGGCTTAAAGGTATTCCTACCATGTCTAACCCAAGGTTCTTCGATATGGTGGAATACTTCTTTCACAGAGCCTGCCAGGTGGTCGAAGACAAATTAGTGGCTGACATGAAGTCTAGAGTGACGATTGAGGAAAAGAAGAAGAAGGTTGCCGGCATTCTGCAGCTCATGCAGCCATGTGATCACATTCTTGAGATCCAGTTCCCTCTGAGGCGCGATTCTGGCGATTACGAAATGATCCGCGGCTACCGCGCTCAACATTCCTCTCACAGAACGCCAACCAAAGGAGGTAAGGAGATATTTATTTATTAGTTTTTATAATAGTTTTGCTAATTACATTTCGTTATTCATGTAAATTCGTGACATTCCATGAACCGTTAATTACTGGGAAAAATTATTTTTAGCTGTAGGACACGTGATGTTACCGAGCGTAATGTTACATACTTCGCTGCAATATAATACAAGCACGTACCGAATTTCTCTGTAATTTACGCATATATTTTGTAATATTCTGATTAATGTAGAGATACTTAACTATACACTTTTTAAAAAAAAAAAATAGCTAGGTTTTATTTCGTTTCGTAAGGAATTGCCCATAGTAGCGACAGTATTAGGTGTTACACGAAATAATCTAATTAAACCTTTTCGTTTTGTCCACTTTTCTCTAGTTACTTATCTAGTTAGGTAAATATGGGAAGTATGTGTTTAAAAACGTTTACGTACGGAAAAATCTTGTTTAATACATACGCCAAAACATAACCTAACTTTTTTTATTGCCTACAATAGGACTTCAGCGTGTTTAAGGCGTTGTTACTGGCAATAATTTGTAGCAGATGTATTATATAATAAAGTAATACATTTAAACTACAACGATGACCATTGTTTGGACCATTGTGTAAGTACAAAACATCGACACAACAAGCTCTACGTTTGTTCGAATAATTTGGTCCTTCGACCCGGAAGACGCCAATGTAAAGGCAGAAATAACATTATCTGTTCTTGCAAATGTTAATTCTTAAACAAACTGACATTAAACTATAATTTAATTAGATACTAATGTCATCTTTACAAAGTGTTAAGATTCTAGTCGTATACATCTACGTGGTATTGAAGAATTAGTGAACTTTGCTTACATTGTAATAATAAATGAATGACTCAACTCAAAATTTGTTACATAATCAGCCATGTTTATTATGCTCGTTCTTCGTTTGTTCGAAAATTACTTTGTGTTATGTGTAAGCATGTGAGCCCGTATTGATGCTTATTTTATTTTAATATGTCGTAACAAATCCCATAAAATCTAATAAAGATCACTGAATTTGTTAGCTACAGGAAAGATGTTTTAGCATCGGGTACTCTTTTTGTAGTTACACAAGTATTTCGTTAGTAGGTATACAGGTTTCAATACGGTACTTATCAAGTCCTCGACAGATCGTTATTCTTTAACCTACGTGTAAGTAAATGTTTAAGAGTTTATGATTTCGTTAATCATGCAACCGTTTTTAAATGTCGTTTTCAATTCTTCAAATTGACGCCCAGACTTCTCGAACGATGAGATCGTAACATAACAACACAATAGTCGTAAAAATAAATTGCCGTCCAGTTTTAATCTCAAGATCAAAGACAAGTTCAACATTTGAGATTATCAGACCTGCTAAACTTGATATAAATGCCAGGAACTTAATTAATACGATTGTAAAGACTTGTAAAACGTGTGACATTTAAGGGCAAATTACATCTGTTCGTTAATAGGGAAAGGCGTTTTATGAAAAGGAACCGTGAATACAATAATAAGTTGTACACTGGAAAATAAGCGAATAATAAATTGGAGTGAAATAAATAAATTGGAGGCAATCACAACCTCATAAAACAATAGGTATTACTTTAACCTTACATCTTGACTTTTCGTACCATGACGCGCTTAAAGTAAGCTTATTCTAGTATTAAAACTATGATGTTTGTGACTATTCATTCACTCAGTTCGTACAATGACGCATCTTTAACATTAAAGTAATATTGTTCTTATGTCAAATTTAGCACTTAAAATAGTTACACATATGCAAAGGAAACAATATTATTTTCGAATTTATTGTCTAATTATTGTTTTGTAATGATTAAAAGTTAAGTTGAACTTATTTATTTACATATATCTCTTCAATGTTTTGTTTATTTTTTTATTTGATAGTACATTTACATAGAAAATAATTTCTCGGTAGATAGAAATAGGCGACGTTTATTTCGTTGTGACAGCGCCATCTATATGCTCCATGGCGACACTAACAGTTGTCACTAGACTATAATTCCGAATTCACAACGTGACAATCAAGACCACAGACTTAAATCTTGTCTGTGATCAAGACTCAGCTTGTCTTATTTATTTTTTATCTTCATGAAATTGCGGAAAAATAATTGAAAACAACATTGACTTACAATTATAAAACAACGTAATTTTAATAGATTTCATTATTACTTTTCTATTTTTGACAGTTAAAATTCTCTGAATGTAAATAATATTAAGCACTTTAATATTATACATACTACGATAGGACGATTCAGAACATCAAAAAGAAAGAGATGGCATTATACAGTTCATTTGACGTTATTTCTTTCCTATTTTTAGTAAGGAAAAGACAACAATGGGAAATTATTCATTCTTTCAGTCACTTTAGCAACAATACATTACTTGGTTGATATGTTTGTCATGGTACGAATATGAGTAATATTATAGTAAGCTTACTATAAGCTTACTTTGTAATAAGATTGTTTTTTGAAAGGCCCCGTCACTGCGCCCGTCACCCTGAGACATAAGTTGACGGGACCCATGTGTTCAATTTCACCAGCACCTTTTTACCTTCCAAAACCGAAACGCAGTAATGCTCACATTACTATTTGGCAGCAGACATAGATTCGTCCTGTCACTTAATATTATAAAAAAAAACTTCCCTGAACTCTTTCACAAATAGCTCTACTTTTAAAAAATATTTTTTATATATTACCGTGATTATTATGTACATGTAAAAGTAAATCTCAAGAAGAAAAGAAAAACAAGATCGGGAAAACACGTCCCGGCTGTCACAGAAAAAGGCCACCGACGAGACGCGGCGGCGGCAGGTTTGAGCAAGTATTTCTTCACACCGATATAAAAATTAAAACAGTATGGAATCTTAGTTCTTCAATTTACTTACAGTTGTCTTTGAGATCATACGCTTCTATTTGCATAATATTACATTTTTGAGTAATATATTAGAGGAAAATGCTACAAGCGCAGAGCCGAGGAATGTTTAATTAAAGCCATTAGCTGTGTTCTGTTTAAATTCATTTATACTTTTATTTTTTCTGACATCACTTGTGCGTGATGAATATTATTGTACGCATAAAATATTGATTTACACCCACTAAGCTTCACAAGCGAAGTTTGTCAAAAAAATACTAAATTTTACTATACCTAACAAATATAGGTAAAGAAAAAATTGGAAATTCCCTAAACGACTCGTTGATAATCTGCCAAAATATAGAATTACGTATGATATGTATATTTGTAAAACCACGCTGTAGGAAATATAACTATTTCAAAGGACAGACTAATTGTACTGAGAGTCGCGTCAACAATGAATGTAGGTTTTATGTGACTTTAATATGCTTGTCGTTACATGAAATGGAAGATTGGTTTAAATAAGTTATATAATTAGGTACGAGAGACATTTGTCTCTTCAGAGCAACATATTATCGACAGCGAAAATTTGTTCTTCGAGTGGTGACACAAAGAAAGAAAACTGATAACACGACTAACGAACTAAATTGGCACGGAAGGCGTGGTCTTGACGTAAACTTGCGTCAAGTGTGTAAACAATTTGGTTATGTAATAACCTAGCTCATATTTTAAACACTCTGCTAACCACGTAAATAAGTACGTAGCGATGAAAATTTTAAAAGCACACGGTCATGACAATGATGGTCTATCCAACAAACCCTCAGTCACGTAGGTATTCTTGATTATTTATCTACCTAATAATAATGTGGGGGCATGTCGTGACATCACCGTTCAGTGTCAACTGATTTGATAAGCAATGATAAACAACTTGTAATCTCTATGTGCTTAAAATTAAAAATACTACATCGAGTACTTTCGAGTGTCCAATTTCTTTTTTTTCATTATTGATATGATTGACTTAGCAACACAAATTGAAACTCTTTGTTGCTATGAAAATGAGGTGATATGTACCAAATTTTTTATTTATCTTTTAATTATATTCACGTGATTAAATTTGTTATAAGTATTTATTTCAGTGACAAGATACTTAATAAAATGACTTCACAGCTGTTTGCTGAATCGCCTACCTTTACTTTGGTACCCTTTACATAATTTGCTAGACACGAGTTGTATACGTCTGCAAATTCACATTGGTATGTGAATTTTCAAGTAAATATTTTCTACTGCCGTAACACAGTTTGTTAAATAAATTATAAAATAACGAACTGTATAAATCATGACTTAGTGCATCTTAAAGAGTGATTACACACGGAGCCTTTCAGCAGCGATGCAAACACGCGTTCGTGAAACGCGCAGTTGCATAGCTACACTTGCGATTTATAAGTAATTGCATATCGGTGCAAACGCGCGACTGCATCGATACAAACGCGCGATTGCATCGATACAACCGCATGAATCACAAGTGTAGTGATGCAATCGCGCGTTTGTATCGATTCAGTCGCGCATACGCATCGCTGCTTAAAGTCGCGCGTGTGTGAAAAGGTAGACGATTAGCTACTGAATCGCGTTAGCATCGCTGTTAAATGTCGCCGTGTGTAACCGCTCTTATATTTGTTTTCGCATCTATTTCTGAAATTAGCGTGAATAGTTCTTACTATTTTTACAAAGCAGGAATAATGCCAAATTACAAGTGACGTGTGTTTCTTACGTTCTAGTCTTGAAGATAATGCTCAAAGAATTGACATTTGCTTAATTTGCGAGGAATCTTTACCTTTTCGGTGGTCCTTCCGACAATAAAAAACAATATTTCTGAAATTAGTTGAACTTCTTTTTTGTACCACTCTTGACAGAGCGCTATTGATAATCACGGAGTATACAATTGTTATGGGCTGATGTGATTCAATCATAGAGCAGTCAACTTCAACAAAAATTTTACGCAATCGACTACTTTTCATTACTATCACCAGTAAAATATATTTGCTACGCATTATCCCATTCAACAGAAATTACCGTCATTGACAATAGCCGCATATTTTCTTTGACACAGCAGCGCACACTGTCTTTTATCGTTCTTCGGGTGCATTATGTTATTCAAGAAGTAGCAAGAAGGCCCGACTCATGTAGCTGGTGAAGTGCTCGTTAGTAGGTACAATTTACTACCAACAAAATAATTCGAAATCGATGAAAAATTTAAGATTTCAAAACAAAATATGTACCAAACTCAGGAGAATGAGTTCAACGTTCTTTTATTATAAAAGTAAATCTTTTTTTAAATTATATTGCAAATGACAGGCTTGACGAGACCTTGAGAAAGTGGTACCACTCTGTTGTCAGTATAAGATAAGACAAACCATTGCCATTATCTTTGACTTATTTTTTATAAATTGACGACTGAAACGTTAGGTACCTACTAAAGCATAAGATTGGCAAGGCTATGATTTGATAATTGATAATTATACTCGTATAGGAACCTGTGTAAATGTTAGTTAGGTAGACGCTATAAAAATAATACGTAGTCACATTATATGTATAGGTAGTAAAAAAAATGCCTTCGAGTATAGTGTTAATACTGAATACCTACTGTTACTATGAAGATTTGTTTGATATCGTTAAAGTCACTTTTTAGTGACAGAACAAAAACTCTAGATTTTGGCATTTGTACGAACCTTTACATGGACCGTTGCTATATTTTTTTTATTGAAATGATGTCAAGTCAATTAGTAATTTATTCCATACGTTAAATTTTTACACTTGAAAACGTAATTTTTTAGGCTACTGCTTATTCACTGCGCTGACCTCGCTGAGAAGAACGAGCAAGTTAAATAAACTTAAATGCTATGGAATACACTTTGAATCATAATTCTGTGGAATCTAGAATCACGTTGTCTTTCCATACATCTTTATCTAACACATACCTATGACTCTTCAATTAGAATACAAAAGTTTTACTGATTGATGATTCGATTTAATATCCTACGATTTCTTTTAATTTTTATTTACAACATCGGAATCAAACGTCAATCCATCGTATTCGGATCCGAACCGAAATACGTCACACCCGTACGATTACTGGAACGTCTCGACAAATGCTACAAGCGTTATTCAGAACACAGTTATCGAATGAAAGTTACCGAACGTCCTATTGTTTACAAAGCAAGAATATATTATGGAAATCTCTTATTATTTTAAATAGTCTGGATTTTGTTCAATTTTATTAATTTAATTTAGTGCAAGATTAATGCATTCCTATATTTTAGGCCTTTATAGTTTAAAAAATGTGTTTTCATTTCATTTTCATTTCACCGATTTACGAATCCGAATCGAACGTTTAACTCGAATGTTCTAATATCGTTTACGTTTAATCGTTACCGATTGTAGAAATGGAAGAGATTGGGAGCGATTGCCACTTGTCTAGGCCCTCCGAGTAGCTTGGGAAGCGCCCTTCGATTCGAGAACGATATCCAATCGTACGATTCAGTTAAAACATCGAAGAGTGCTGAACTGGGGTCCTGGCCTTCAGTAATGTCTTAGGCTCAATTCACACTGGCGCAGAGTCGAAGCGTCGCGACGCGTCATGTTTTTCGCCTATAGCATATTCATCTCTATTTTCTCATAATTAAGGTACAAATTTGTGTTTTGCAAATATGGAATCGAGCGTCGAAGCGTCGCGTCGCGTCCTGTTTTTCAACTCCACCGCCTGATGACGCTCGCATTAGTGCGCCGGGATCACAGTTTGGTCGGCGTCTGACGCCTCACGGCGCCCAAGGGACGCGTGTCGACGGGCGTCGCCGCTCGATTTCATAATTGCAAAACACAAATTTGTACCTTAATAATTGGAAAATATAGATGAATATGCTATAAGCGAAAAACACGACGCGTCGCGACGCTTCGACTTTGCGCCAGTGTGAGCTGAGCCTAATGCGAGCGTCGCCGCACGTCGCCACGCGTCGATGCGCGTCTGCGCGTGTCGCCAGGCGGTGTAGTTAAAAAACAGGACGCGACGCGACCCTTCGCCTCTGCGCCAGTGTGAGTTTAGCCTTAAACCCTTAGAAATTTAAGATATTTACTGTGAATCGTTATATTATTGGAAATTAGATTGAAAACGCAGGGAAAAGACCAACTTTTTCATACATATTTTATCTTTTAATAAAGCAAAGAGTCTTATCTAAATTGATTTAACGTAGGCATTCATTTGTTCTCGTAATCTCGCATCACATGTACATGTACATATAAAACAACTATATTATGATACGTGCATGCCTATTCTAGATATTTTGCCTAGTAATAAAATTATCAGTATTACGAAAAATATGGCGCACAATCCTGTCATTAAGAATATTGCATAATAATATCACTGAAATCCTTTAAAAAGTGGTCAGGATGCGGGCTTGCTTGCACAGGCTATAGTGCCCTTCTCGTAGGTATAATATAGCCAAGAGGTTGATCGGGAGGGTCACTATAAAGAAATCTTATGGAGAAAGATATGGGACTATTCTCATTTGTTTTTTAACCGACTTCAAAAAAGGAGGAGGTTCTCAATTATGCTGTTTTTTTATGTATGTGACGCGATTATTCCGGCATTTGTGAACCGATTTTGATGAATCTTTTTTAGTTGGAAAGAGGATACTTCAGTATTGGTCCCAGTTCAATTTGAAGAAAATATTCCTCCTCTAAGGGTGACAAACTCCTCTACTCGTACTAGTTAAGTTGTCCAGTTCAGTTGACTGAACTAATGAGATTTTTTGTCTCGTTTGTTCAGTTGAAAATAAAACAAGCATTTGCCCCTGGTTTAGTAGAGATTTTTCATTTCCTGTTTCCACTAGTTCAGTTGTCCATCCTCTTTCTACACTAGTTCTGTTGTCCACCCCAGTTAGTTGATTGAACTATAAAGAATTTCTATCTTGTTTGCACAGTTGAAAATACAACAAGCTTTTTTTCGCTAGATCCGATCTCAAATTTTTAATTTTTTTGTGTTAAGTTTCACCCAGGTATCACGCATTTCTATCGGTCGGATTGATTCGGAATTTGGCATACTTATGTTATGTTCGGTGACAATACAATGTTATGGTACCATCGAGATGGTCTGATAATTGAGACACCAGGCGGCCATAGGTCTCCAGTTCAGTCAATCGAACAAATGGGTAAAAGAGTCTCGCTAGTTCAGTCAACTGAACAAACGAGATAAAAAATCTCATTAGTTCCGTCCACTGAACTGGACACCTGAACTAGTGGGAAAAGACGGGCAAACTTGGGGATGAATCACTTTCCGGTAATCGATTTCAATAAAGCTTGGCAAATAAGAGTTGCAGGCTTAGCATGTGCCCGATGACAAAAGTTATATCTTCTTCGAAATGTCAATTTTCTCTTGAAGACAAAAGATATCTCTTCTTGGTAGGTACTGTCATCGAAGAAGAGATAACTTTGTCTTCGGGCTCATGCTAAGCCTGCTGATGTAACTAAGAGGTATTAATTCCTCGAACTTTTGAGGTCAGTTCTTTTTTGTATAAAATAGTTATGTATGTATATTAAAATTAAATCATTGATACAAAATGGCTTTTTTCTACCTCTCGACTATTTAATATTTAGCAAAAAGACATTGAATATAATAATCTGAGCATTATTGTAATCAAAATATTTGTAAATTAACATAAAATTATACGATATAATTTTGTAAATTGAAGATATCGTTCACGGTTGAACTTCATTATGGCTTCAAATTGTAACAATTTATTCGATTACGGATGTAGTCGATGCTTTGTTAATAAGAATAGAATAGAATATATTTTATTGCAAACATGGTATCAATACAGTTGTTACAAATAAATAATAATATCACATTGGACCCTGCAAGGATATAATAAATCCAGTTTGTGTTGTAATTAATAACTTGTAATATTAATTTTTATAAATGCATGTTTGAATTACGTACTAAATATAAATATGGGTCATACATAATAACTCTCCATATTCATCGGCCCGTGTCACAATCATAACATTACTCTGAAAATGTGACCAAAACTGATAGATTTATGACCTCACAGAGTCTGTAATCGCACTGAGATATTAATAACATATAAGATTATACAAACAATATGTAGTATATACATAAACATAGGCAACATTTGAAATGTAGATACACCAATAAATTCGACGCGCACACACACAGTTGACACATTGTGCCCTTTCGAGAAATTCCTTTGAAAGAATTCGAATCGATGTCTGTATCTATGTGTACCTACGTACTGACATTTCAATATAAAATCTTAGAATGTCCATGTCCTTTATGTGACAATAGTTAAGTTTGTCAGTAAGTTACGAAAACCTGTAATTGTAAATAATTTCTAAGTATTAATTTCAATAATAAAAATCACGTATTGCAATTCAGATAGTTAATTTCGGTCTCTATAAATTGTAAATAATACTTTACTGTCTCGTTTTTCTTAGTAATTTCAAGTTGTACTTAGGTACCTAAACTTCTCCAGTCCTGTCTTTATTTACGCAGGATTTTTTTACAAAATTAATTGTTATGAAATGTTCCAGGTATTCGATTCTCGATGGACGTCACAAGGGACGAAGTAAAAGCGTTGTCCGCTTTAATGACATTCAAGTGTGCTTGCGTCGATGTGCCCTTCGGAGGCGCTAAGGCTGGTATCAAGATTAACCCCAAGGAGTACTCTGAACACGAGCTTGAGAAAATCACCCGTAGATTCACACTTGAGCTGGCCAAGAAGGGATTCATTGGTGAGTTTTCTTTGTTCCTTTGCATACACTATGGTACCTACTATTAGTAGTTTTGTATTTTATTTGCGTAGATTGATTTCATGGCAACTAATATCACAGAGTAGTTTTTATTCAGCAACAGAGCCCTGTTATAAAATTAGTGAATAAAATCAGTATGGTCGCAGCCCTAAACAAAGAACTAAGTACTTGAGTATTTTGTGGGGCAATCCGTTATACTATCTGAGATTTCCATAATGTTTTATAGAAGGGAAATCTCGAGTACAACACTAAGTATCTACTCCCTACATACCTATGTAAAAATTACGCCCCCAATAACGAAGTCGTACAAATTATTAATTAGTAATCTTACTAACAATGTTTTCATTGATCAGAGAGATGATGAATGAAAACAAAGATTAATAATAATCAAACATTATCGACTTAAACACTTATAATAAACATAATGACATCAAACATTTAATTTACAAATCGACAGCTTGTTTTATTGTTTTCACACAGTAATGTAAACAAATCGATAAGAATGCATTATGCAGTCAATAGCGAATACCTACATAGCCTCCAAACCAAAATAGTTATTATATTACACATGAAGCTGATTCGAAAATTATAAATTGCGCTACTATTTTATGTAGTCTCTTTTTGTGATATCAAAAGGAAAACAAGGTATTTTTCTTGTTTATCAATTTTAAGAGAATTATCAATTTTAAGAACCACAGGTCTTTCAGTACGAATGAATAGACTAAGCTACTTTACAGTGTTGGTAAACATAATTAAATCATTTCGTAGATTGTGACGTACTTTCGGTCATCGTACTGCAAAGCTAGGTCAAAATCCTATAAAATTACCATCGCGTGCAATAAATTAGCTTTGTAGGTATCACGTTGCATAATGTCTTATTTGTCATGGTGTAAATCTGCTAACTACTCTTTGTGAAGAAGATAACTAACCATTGTAACATGATATATCGATGACTTTCTAAAGTAATGCCCTATCTCAAAAGCATCTAATTCATCAGAAGACTAGTTAAAACACGTGACTGCTGCGCAAAATTGACATATCGTAGTCCGTTCCCACCACAGACATATATCTAGGTTCCAACATTGTCATGTGATTATTTTAACCAATGAAAAGGTGTTCTAATAAAATTTAAGATTCTCTGAACAAATCTCAGTAATAAGTCAAAAAAGCAACTAGGTACTTCGGCTGATTATGATCACGATTTCAAAAAGCATGAGAGCTATGTTGATTCGATAACGCCACCGAGATAATTTAGTGTAAACGACTGGCTTTACATTCTAAAAGCATTCAAAACTTATGCTGTACAGACGTAGCAACGGGATCCAAATTTTTAGCTATGAAATCATTTACCAAGTGCGTCAAAAATATACCCAACATTGTTAAAAATTGATATTCGAAGAGAACTTACGGTTACGGCCAACAGCATAACCGCATAAAGATCGATTGGCAATATCTATAGTAAAGTATCTATATGTAATTTACAATTTATACTTATTGCACAAATGTGTGAGCATGACAAAACTGTAATTGAAGATATGAAAAACAATTTTCAGTGGCACAATAAAAGAAATCGTTTTCCAAAGCGCGAAGGTTCGCAATTATATGATGGAATATGTAAGGCAATGGAGTTATTTCCTGTCTACCAAAATTGATTGCGTGTACCATTGTTTCGCAGGGCCTGGTGTGGATGTACCAGCACCCGACATGGGTACAGGTGAGCGTGAAATGTCTTGGATCGCCGACACCTATGCCAAGACTATTGGTTACCAGGACATCAATGCTCACGCTTGCGTCACGGGCAAACCTATCAACCAGGTGGGCGACGAAAAACTATTTATAAAATATCT